TATGTATGTATGTCAAAGGTATGTGTATCTGGGGAAACATACATACCCGGAAAATGATAGGTATGTATGTATGTCTGGGTTCGTAGTGCCTCCGCTGATCTGCCTAGGCCTCGCCTTCATGAGGTTGGTGAAGTTCCCGAAGCCCGAGGACAGCTCGTCGATGCGCGAGACAGCGATGCGCGAGCGGCCCTTGTAGAGGTAAGACCTGCCACCGAGAAACGTCGTGCCCACCACGCCGACAGCGGGGCTACCCAGGCCAGGAAACTAACAACATCCAACAGACGGGTGTTTCTTTCTCTCTCTCTCTCTGGCGGGCATGACTCGTGGAGTCGTCTCACCCCTTTGTATGTGCATGTTTATGCCCCCGTCAGATGTTGATTTGAGGGACGTTCCCTTGACCGGTCAAGCTGTCAAAGTCAAAGTTGCGCTGCATCCTCCAGTCAGTTCAAGAGCCACTGGGACCTTACTCAAGCAATATTCCCTCATTATCCGTCATTCTGGTTCCATACCTGAGCATCCGATAAAGCCTTCATGAGCCTGCTCTCGTCTGCTCGTCTTGTGGTGCGTTTTGGAAAGGATTTGTAATCCACGCTGAGGCTCAACAGCGCGGAGCGCGGGCGCTGTTGAAACAGCTCAACAGACCCGGCCTCAAGGCCTCCCGCATGCGGAAGCTGTCGTCCACAATCAAGCGCCGGGCGATGTAAGGGAAGCACTCCTTGCGTTGGTTCCATAGATAAGTCATTCATTCAAATGCGAATTCCTTCCCACCAAATCCCCCCCGCCTTGACAATGGCAAAATTCTCGTCAGATTTCAGGCCCAAGCCTACGGCAATGTCGCGAGCTGGCTGAGCCATGCAAGGCCGGACCGCACCGCATGGATCACAAGTCTGTCATACCTTCCTGCCCCACCCGTATAACCCTGGTGGACCTTCGTGTTGATTCACGCTCCTAGACCAGACAGGTACGCAAAAAATGTTCAATCCAGACGTCGGGCTACTTGAGTTCTTCCGCCCATGCGGGTTCTGCCTTCCAGTGTTGAGAAGGCGCGGAGGATCAGAGTAAAGTAGGGCGGGAGGCGGAAAGCTCCTGTAGTTCTTGCTTGCGAAGAGACACCCAAGCAGGGTCTCGGGAGGCATTACTGGTCCTGACGCGCTAGCTTCCATTATTAATGTGTGGGAGCGATCTACATGATGTTGTTCATTTCCCTGGCCACATGGCACACGAATCTGACAAAGCCATCCCTTAGTCATCCCCGCCTACCACTTCAATGCCAAGTCACTATGGCAGCGCTGCTTCCAAGAAGTCATCGCCAAATCAACCCCGCAAGCTAATCTCAACCAATGGCATCCCGATAGCTTGACATATATAAGGGCTTGTCAAACCCCAAAGGCTGCAAAACGATCAGGGTGTTCATGTATTCTTGCTCTTGCCTTTCTTTGCAGTCTTTCTTGGCGGAAAAGGCTGGCCGGCTTACATCTAGGTTTTCTAGGTGCTCGGGAGTATGGCTACGAAACCTGTTGTCAGATATGCCTTTCCATACGGACTGTGCAGCGAGCGTCAAACGGTTCCTCAGCAGAGCGAAGGGCCTCACCAATCTGGCCGGCGTCGCTCAAACGCGTCGCGGGCTCCTGGGTTTCCAGGGCTTGCAGAGACCTGTAGAGGTCTTCACAGGCCGATGTCCCACAAAATCAACCATCACCTCACCAGCACTCTCCAGCCTCCCAGGGCTAAACGGAAACTTCAAAGAATCAACCAAAGTGAAGACCTTCAGGTGCTCCAACGAAATCTTGCTGTAGTTTGAATCGTAGCCCAGGCGGCTACAAATCAATCGGGGCAGCTGCCTGAAAGCTTGACAATCACCAGCAAACGTCGTCTGCAACCACGGATCATGCTAAAATTTGAGCATTGGGGTGAGATTAAACAGCCACCAAAATGAACACAACAAAAATCAGCATACAACTCCAAAAGCGAAACTCTTCCCACCCCAAACGCAGAAGACTCAAGCTGCGAGCACCGCTCGTAGAGCGCTCCAAAAACAGAAGGGCCGAATTCTTTACTTTCGGTGATTTCATCCAACTGCTCAGACTGCAGCAGCTCAGGGCTTCAGCAGATTCCGCCAGTCTCGCCAGGGTTCAAGCAGCAAACTCCTCACCAGTTTCCTCTCGCATCATTCCCCCGAATGCAGTGATGTTGCGTAGTGAACCACGCATGCCTGAACCTGGTGCCCAAGTATCTGGCAGGAACCTCCAGTGTGCGAACACTTTCACTTTCGCCCTCAACCGAACCTCTACGCTCACTCATTGTCAAAAGCGGGAGAAGCTGCGCGTTAATGGACTTAATCTCAACTGCAAAAAACACTGCCTGATCAATCTTGCAAAACGCAACTCCCGAAGCTCCTGCCTTGACCTGTGCAAATGGGATCTGCTGAACCTCGTGAGTACTATCGTGAAAGCCTTTTGGCAGAGCTAGAAGCTCAGGATCAAGCGCGGCCTCACACGAAACAGCCGGAGCCTTCTTCTTCTTCTTTTTCTTCTTCTTCTTCTCAATCTTACGACTGTCATCAAGTCTGGCTCCAATTCCTCCCAACGGACCCACATGTACGGCTTCGGCAAGGATGAGCCCAAGCTTAATGCCTGCCACTGATATCGCGTCTTAAACAAAAATTGTGGACAGCACCCTGCATGCGCTCAGTCACCTGGTCGGCCGGGACACCCTTAGCTTGCAGAAGCTCACCTAGCACTGAATGAAGCTGATCTGAAAGGCATGCCTTGTCCACCACCTTTGGTGAGGTGAGAGTCACGCCCCCGCCTCGTCAGCATCCGTGAATGAGGACCGCACAAACGCCAGCCCATATGCAGTATAATGCAACTGCCCCGCATATCCATCCTGTTGACAACAACAGCGCCCATCAAGTCTTGAAGATCTTTCCGCACCCACTGTCCAGCAATGTCCCCAGCTTTCAGCCACGCAGACGCCGCTCTTGGTCCAAAGAAGCAGACATTCTTGTCGAGATTCTGCTTCAAAATGCTTTGAGCCTCACAACTCGCCACAATCTCGTCAAGACCAAGGGAAGGAGCATCATGGCATTGTTTGCGCCAAGATTGCAGCTGTTGATTGTCCAGCACGAGGTTTCCCCCCTCTTCCATGATGGTCCCACTCAGGCAAAACTTCACATTTCCAGAGATTATGACATCATATGACATCCCACGCAACAGTCAACTGTGACGTCATGTCGCAAACCACAAACTGCACAACGTCAATCCAAACTTTTGCCGCAAAAGAGAAAAGGAAAGAGTAAACGGGTGATTTCACAAAGAGTTCATCTCCATTGCGTGTGAAAGTCAGTAGTCACTTGCGCATCAGTTTCCTGCATCTCATACCGGAGGTCAGTGCACACTCCTACATAGTCCTTGGCCTTGAGAAAATCAGTGTCATTTAAGCTGTACGCCTTGGTGAAAAGGGATGAGCACCTCAGTGCGATCGACCTTGGCTTCAGCCTGCGGAGGAGAGCCTGCATCAAATCGAAACGCCACACATGCGCAACCCTCAGTTCTGTCATGCGGAGGACAATGGTATGCTTGCCAGCACAAAACCAGCGTAGCTGCAAGGTCTCCCATTCGGAAATCATCAGAGCCCGACTCCTGGGCATTTTTGCCGAAAATTCCGGAGCTCCAACGCTGTCCAAAGACTCTTGAAATGGAGAGGCTAACTGAACAAGTAGTGATAGAGCACCCTTGAGATCGGAACCATACTGATACGCGCCCACCACTTCAACAAGCGCCCCTACTTCACATGGGCGGCTAAGGCCCTGACTCGGCCAGCTGCTAACAACTTCGACGCCAAACAGACCATCCGACCTGAGTCTTGCACAGCTCAGTGGGCCAGACCTACACCCACATGGACACGCTTGCAACTGGGAGCCCAGCAAATGCGGCACACAGGGTGCTGTTTTTTACAAGCCTACGGTTGACTTTACCAAACTGTGGATCTTTCACGGCTGTCCACTCGAGCTTGGCTTCCTCAGTTGGACCCATTGGGGGGCGTCACCCAGAACCATCTAGCGTAGCCTCGGCTCTGCGTGCGTTCAACAGTGACACGAAAGTCCAGGCTCTCTCGTCTTGGAAGTGACGCTCATCACCCAGCCGAGAGAACAGCTGGCAGTCCGCGCGCATGTTTGGTGAAGGGCAGCAGTCTCACCACACCTGACTGGGAAGTCCACACATTGTTGGCCAAGACACATACTGCTAGCGGACTCTTGTCACAGGCTGCCACCCCAGAAATGTGCTAGTTCAGCCCCTGCCAGCCCACCTCCCATTCCCGAGCGCGCACTAATCACATTCATCACATTCTGCAATCCATCCAACTTACAACTTATAACGATGGTCGTTGCAAGCCAAGCGCCTTCCAAGCCACTTTGCAAAAAAAGATGCCTGACTCTGGTCTACCCCTGTAAGAATCCAGTTGTAGACCGTAACAGAAGACGATCACACCCCTGAGCAAAAACCTTCTGTCTCCACCCTCCTTCACCGCTAGCCCCTGCAAAATCCAAAGGACAGAGCACCAACGTTTCTCACTCTGTCTGGAGCAAGCCAGCCATCGTCAACCCAGCTCGTGGCTCCAACACTCGAGCGCTCGGCGGGCCCTGCGGATGGCTCGAGCCCCGACAGTGCACTTCCCTCTTGAGTTGCTTGAGCGCTTTGCACGCTGCAAACCACTGCCCTTCCAAAGAAGGAGCGTCCTATACCAGTTCCAGCTTGGTCTCCACAACCTCTCCCAGGGCGTTGAACTCGCGCACGAAGATCTTTTGCTGCTTGAAAGCGTCAGCAGCCTTGAAAGAGCGGCAATTCCAAAAGTTGCATCAGCCAGTCAGAGGCATCTCCTTGGCACGTTGGGCATTGAGGCCGCCGCCGCCCTCTTGACGCACTGCTCCGGGATCTTGTCTATGAAGGCTGGAACCAACTCCTTGGAGTTCTCCAGGAGGTTGAAGGCGTTCAAGGCACTCGCCTCACTCGTCGTGTTGGCCACACGCGTTCGATCAATCGGACGAACTTCTCGGGCACCGCTGCCACCTGGCCGGCCAGGGCCACCGACAAAAAGAGAATCCTGTGGCTAGCAAGAATCGCACATTCCCATCCGCGCTGGTCAGCTGCACGCCACGGCCGGTCTGCGGCACTCTGCGCGCATCTTGGCCAGCGGCAATCATCCGATGAGCAGCCAGCTGATTCGGCGGATCCATAGGAGCAGGACTGAAACCTGTCGCCGTGCTGTGATCCGCTGCACACGCTAACTCGTCGGCCAACTAGCTTCACAGCTTTTTTTCCCCGCAGAATTCAAGGGGTGAAGCAAAGGGAAGCAAAGTGAGACAAAGTGGCCGACGTCGGGTGGTCGGTGTGCAACCTACCGCCCCGGCAGGCGGGAATTGGGAGGGTGTTCCTCCTACCGCGCATCATCGGCGAGGATGGCGTGGAGCGGAGGCAGATCGCCATCTAGGAACTCCTCGAAGGAATGAGGGAGTTCCAGCAGGCTCGCCGCGAGAGCGCGCTGGGAAGTGACAGCGAGAATGCCAGCCCACCGGTGGAGGTAGGCGGCAGCCGACGCCTGCCGCAGACGGGCCGGATGGCCGCGGGCACGGACTTGGGCCAGCTGCCGGAGGAATGCCGTTGCTTCCCCACCCCAGACGACGAGATGGCAGCGCCGGGAACTCTGGAATTCCGGGTTTTTGCTTGCAAAGCTTGAGCCAGACCTTTGTATAACTAGTGCTTCAGCATTCTGTGGATCCACTTCTATTATTCTACTTTGGACGAGGACCAGCCGAGCCCATTCGCCCTATTGATGCCCCCCGCTGCTCCAGCATACTTCTTGGAGATGGCTTGGAGCCTTGGCACATGTTAGAAAGGGAACTCAAATAACGATGAATAACAAATAATAATTCAACAATGCGGTTTGAAACTTCATCCAGCAAGGCGCTTTTCCCGGAGGCCATCCAACTTCCCGGCTTCTTTCATTTCCTCTCGCTGCTTGGCAAACATCTCGCGCTTCTTCTTCAGATCGCCACCCTCCTGAAGAGTCATGTTCGTGTCTTTGAGTCAAGTCACTTCATCCAGGGTGAATGGATCAGAAGTATATGGACAGTCCACAGCTATTCTCTCCGGCCTTCCCCAGCCGCTGGGGGAGACCCATGGAGCATGAAAAAACATCGAACCCGTAACCCTTACCCTTCTGAACGTCCAAAAGCACCAAAAACACCGTTTAGCCAACGAAGACGACGGAGAGTTCCACCTCTTGGGGCCCGGGCCTCGTAGAGCGTTGCCAGGGTGGTGGCCAAGGTGGGCACGATGATGTCCAGCGCCTCCTTGTCTTCTTTCAAGGCCTCAGGCAGCGCCTCCCTAAACATCCCGAGAGCGTATACGTCCCCAAGACGAAAAAAAGAAATGCATCCTTGACAGCCTTGGCCAACTGGAGTTTTCAAGCCCCAAGTTACCCACTGTCCACGTGCAATACACTCCAGGTGAGCATGCAAACATCATAGGAATCATAGGTTTGTTAGGATTTGAAGGCCAAGACCAACACTGCCCTTTCTCTTCCCCTGTTTGTTGCTCCATACTCCCACGGCAAGTCTTGTGAGTCACCTCGCCTAGGGTGGCAAAAGTCAGTGCATCTAACCCTAGCAGGTACAGGAGCACCTGGTGGCCAATTGTTGCCGACATATCCAGACTCGTTCCTGAAGCAACGATCACATGCTGAAGCGGCCGGAGGGAAGAACTCCAGGTTGATCAAGTCTGTTAAGCAGCTCTTGTACTCTTTGGCTTGCCTCACTTGTGAGAACCCTGCGACCATGCCTTCCACATGCGTTACCTCCACGGCTGTAGGCAATGAAATATGAAACAGGTAAAGGCAAAGGTAAAGCATCCTGCTAGGCATTTTGTGCATCTGCAGATGACACTTGAAGGTCATGCAACATGGTATCAAAACCTTGTAACTCCATATATCTTTCTAGATTCTAGCAAGGTGAGTTCCAGTTCCACTGTTACACCCCGAGGATGGAAAGCCCCTTCTGCAAACGCAAATTAGCCTCACCACCCCTCTTCCAGCTCATGGGATGGCTTCAATCCTCAAACAATCGCCCTGGGCATCTGGCAGGTGCATCAGAAACTCGATGAAGGACATCCGCTTGTCCGCAGTGATTTCCGTCATCAGGCCATAATCCAAGATCCCTAGGCGGCCATCTCCTCCACGAGTTCAGGACAAGCTGGCTGAACGGTGTGGTTTCTCAGGGCAGGAGTGTTTCCAAGTCAATCAAGCTCCACAGAAAGTTGACGACAAAACCAGCAAAACATGCGGACATGTGGCGATGTTACTTGATCTGAACCAGTGCTTTTGCTGCGCAACCTCTCCAACCACAACGGTTGTGCCAAGGTTCCCATGAGGATAAAATTGCCAGGATGTGGATCACCATGCAAATACCTTCCAGGATCTTCCAGGCAACACTCTTTTTCCAACGTTGAATGCCAAGATTTCACTGGCAACGCCAGGGCCTTCAAACAAAAAGCATTGTCGCCCAAACAAGGTCGGACGGCAAAAGGGTTTTGAAATGCCTTTGGGATACTTTAAGATATATATATATATAATATGTTCAACCTCCAGCCTCATCCAGAAACTCCTTACATGCACTGCACGAGATCGTTTTCAGCATCTCGGTGACCCCATGGTGTCCGGGGCAGCCCTGTCCGGTCGAGCAGCCCTGTCTCCAAGAACTGGACCATGTAACTGTTCAGCAGGAGCCTGGGATCCACCGAGTCGAGTGCCGAGTGCCGTCTCCATTCGTCGTCCCAGTGGCTGGTCATCTGACGGTTTGTTCCTCGTTACGACGGACTGAAACCCACCATTGGTGTACGGCCCAAACTGCACCAGAATCTGGAGATGAGATTGCGGGGTACGGTGTGCATGAAGCCTGCACGGATGTTGGACTGGAACATGGAACATCGATTTTGGCCTTTTGGAAGCCACATCAAGAAATGCCGAAGTAGTCCAAAGGCAGGATGGCGTACCACAGCAACAGCCGCAAGAACTGCATAGTTACTAGTTGGACCATGTTGGACCTAGGCAACGGTTTTGCTTTCTGGGCCAATTGTTTGGAGGACATTTAGCTGTACCAAAGTCCAGAAGCTTAACAACTCGTCCAGCTTGTTCCTGCGCAGCTCCTGGCTCCGTGAGCTTCTTTCCATCCAGCCATTCCTGCCAAAGCACTACCCGTCACTACCCAGTGTTAGTCTGTAAGCGTATGGCGTTGCAGCTTCTGTCTGTCTGTCTGTCTGTCTGTGTCTAAGCATCCTGTCTAACTTGATGAAACACATCAGTAAGTCATCCAAACATACAACTGTAAGGATGTGACAGAAAATCCATCGCTCTCAACAGGGGACACCAAAAAAAGAACCAAAGGGCAAACACTCGTCATTGGACCCCCAGTATATGAGGGCAGCCCCCATCCCCTCTTCGCCCTCACCGCAGCCTGGACCAAGACCTCACCTGATGTCGACCACCGGGTCCGAACTGTGGCACACAAAGCGAGCTTGACTCAGGGACCCCTAAATTCACCAACCGGACCAATGTGAAAAAAACCATGTCCGAAAGACCACACAAACGCTTCTTTTTTGAACCACTACACATGCACAGCATCCTAGCTTCCCCTAGCTTCGGGGATTCTCCGTCACCTACAGTAAGCGAGGCCACTTGAGACATACAAGCCATGAGATGCTTCCCCGCTTCCCTGACCAAAATTGGTGTCTCAGCCGTACCAGTTCTGAGACCCGCACGGTTGGCGAAGAGGATCTCGGGCACCACGATGGTGTCGCGGATCAGGTCGCAGGACTGCGTCCGTCGTGCGCGACTCGTCCGTGTCTTTTTTCGGGGTTGCATCCGAAAGAGCAGCCGATCCCCATCTGGCCCGATGATGATTGATTCGTCCATCGAGTAGTAGCCTGTCCATCAGGCCATCCCAAAGTTGCTTCACTTCGTCCCTTTTGACCCCGGAGGCGCACGGTCGATGACTCGTCGACTTCCCACACGGCGCACACCTCCACGGTCTCGGCAAAGCGACGCTGGTGGGAGGCCTCGATCTCATAGTCCAGCTCCTGATTCGGTTGGAGGCCATCGCTCTTAGGTTCCTTTTGCTAGTAGGTTGGAGGTGCGTGGAGAGCCGCAAAGGGCCGGTGACCGAAGCACGGCACCGGTGACGAGCACCGGTGACGATGCCACCAGTTGACCCAGGATGACTGGAAAATGAAGTGTATGGACCGAAGCGTGGTGTCGGATGCAACGAGATATGATACATCGATGATCACCCAGCTTCTTTGGTAGAGCTTTGGCACCATGCGCCTAAGAACATGAGGATGAGCATGGGTGAATTCTTCATCTCGCAGTGACTTAAAGAAATGGTATGTTTTTCTCGCACGATTCCGTGGGTTCTTCGGTTCTTCATCCCTTCCCCAAGGTCCTTCACGAAGGTTGGAGCTGTTAAGTCAATCAGCTCCTGCACTTCACTGCCAAGGTGTCACACTTTCGTTGGGACCAAGCACTCGTGCACCAATCTCAGCACGGTATCCGTGGCGTTCGTCAACTTCAAAGCGCTCAAACACCAAAGGGTGGTCCAAACAATCTCTACCGGCTCCTGTTTCTGACGATCTCTGGGCCTTTGGAGTCCAACATCTACTCACAGTGTCGTACTGAGGCACATTGGGCCTTCTGAACCCTCGTGATGCGTCACCCGGCTCCATGAGCTGCTTCGATTGTCTTTGGAGCTGATCAAAGGGCAGCATGGCGCCCAAAGCAGCGGCAGTGCGGATCACATACCTTGCTGCTGTTTTTGCATGCTCAACATCGAAAAAGGTATTTGTATTATTTTGTATGTATGTCCTTTCTGCTCCTTTCTTGATTTTTTATGTTCTTGTCTTGTCTTTTCTGTATATCTGCCTGTCTGTATTTCTTTTCTTTCTGTCGTTTCGTTCTTTCTTTCTGTCTTTCTGTCTTTCTGCCTTTCTGTATGTATTTTCTTTCTGTCGTTTCTTTCTTTTGTTCTTTCTTTCGTTCGTTCGTTCTTTCTTTCTGTCTTTCCTTCTTGTTTTCTTTTTTCTGTTCTGTATGTTCTTTATTTTCTTTATTTTGTTTCTGTTATGTCTTTTCTTTTTTTCTGTCTTTTCTGTTTTTCTTTCTTTTTTTATTTCTTCCTTTCCTTTCCTTTCCTTTCCTTTCCTTTCTTTTCTTTTTTCTTTTCTTTTCTTTTCTTTTTTGTCTGTTCTTTTCTTTTCTTTTTTTGTCTGTTCTTTTCTTTTCTTTCTTTCTGTCTTTCTGCCTTTCTCTTTGTATCTCTCTCTCCCTCTCTCTCGCTCGCTCTTTCTTTCTTCTCTCTCTCTCTCTGAATCTCTAGTACATTTCCATCAATATCATCGGTCAAGAAGCTTTTTCAACGGAACAGTGTGCAGGTGATCAAGTTAGTCCAACAACATCCACGTCCAAAATGTATCCATCGAGCGGTATCTTCATCCAGCGAGGCACAAGTCCAGAGTAGATTGCTCTCGGACATCTGGTCGTTGCACCTTCACGGCAACAGTTTTACCTTGGCTGACTCAGCGCTTTGGAGCACCTGTCTCTGACCTCGTTTTCAATCCATCTTTGCTCTGAAATCTTGACATTAACAGGTGGACGAGGACGTCAGTCTAGAAATCAGCTGCGTGGCCGTGTGCCACAAAGAGGGTGGGTGCCACGCTGAAACAGCCAAATCAATCCAAATCAACCTTTATTTTTTGAAGCGGGGCATCCAGGGGCTTTGCCCTACAGTCAAATCAACTTATTGCCACAATCAATCGCAACCCGCACTGTCATGTGGCCAAGAGACCATTCATGGTCGCTTTGTACACTTGGCCTTGGCTGAGAGTCGCATCGAGACGAGACACCCCCTCTCCGACCAGAGTTGTGCTGAAACCTTTTGGAAACCCTGGTGCAGTTCAAGAAACTGAGACCCATTGCATCTCCCGCAGCCTGCATTGTCACTCCTCACCTTGAGGTGACTTAAAATCTTAAAAATCTCTCACCACTCCCAGGATGTTGAATTGTCTTGCCGGAGTCTTCCTCACACCGCCAGTGCAAGTGTCCTCCCTGTAAACCCTATTTCGGCCACGGCACCCACCGACGCGGAGGCCACCGGCGCGTCGAAGACGCTCAGGTCCTGGAAGAGCTCGACCGCCGGGCGCCCGGAGTCGCCCCGGCGCAACGTCTCCTTGGCGTTAGGCGAGGAGGGCGGAAAGCGTCGTGTCTTGGAGGATGGGATGAAGGCAGTGTGCATTGCGGGGCAGTGGGCAGGAGAATTCGTGAAGAAAACGGTGGTTGGGCTCTGCTCTGTTTAGAGGAGCGGGCTCTGCGGGGCGAGTGCGAAGCTGTGTCAAGCGGAGCTCTGCGCATCGCTCACCAAAACAAATTAGAAATGGCGTCTCCAAACTCATTCTACAGGGAGCCCATTTTCTAGGACATCGGATTGAGCTGGCTGTTCGATGACCCCTTCTTCGTTCCAGTGATCATGGCGGGCGTCCAAGGCTAGATCTTTGCCGAAAGGACGCACCTGTTCCAAGAGCTTCTCGTACTCCTCAAGCAGGAGCATCTTGGCATAAGGCTATTGGCTGAACTGGCAGACATCCATGTTGCTGCGAATAAGGATAATCATCCAGAGAACCATTGCTACACCGGCACCACTGTCCGAAAGTGCGAATGTAAGACCATCCCACAATATAGATGTCGTCTCTCTCTCTCTCTCTCTCTTGCTTGCTCTCTTCTTCCCTGTCCTTGAGATACTCCTTGGGCAAAATGTCCGGCCTGCTCTCAGGTCTTTCATCTACCAAATTTCAGGGCAGCATAGGTAAGCTTGCAGCAAACTCTTGTCATGCCCACCTAGGATAGTCTCCCAACAGGATAGGAACCCGATTCTGGAAAACTCCTGTACGACACATCTGGCAACGGTGCGCTGGAGCCCCGCTCCAGCGGCCCGAGGCGCCTCGAGGCCCAGACCTGGGCGATCTTGATGAAGGTCACACCTCGGCCAGAGTGGCCGGGCACACAGACAGGTGCCGACGATCGTCCAAGAAAAATGACATGAAACCTGGAAGGACGTCAACAGCGACTTGAGACCAGCTGAAACATGCCCCCGCAAGACCATCTTAGGCTCTAGACTCTAGACTCTAAGTCTCTAAGACTCAACACAGTCTACGCTCAAAGCGTTTTCAGGAGTGACATGTCCATGTTATCCTGACTCCCAACTCGACCCTCCGATCCCAACTCTCGAGCCTAAGTCTGTGATGAGCTCGCGTGCCTCCACAGCTCTCTGCGGGCCTTTGGACGTGACGATGTCCCCGTCAAACGGGTTTCGTGTTGGACGTCTGATGCCCAAAGTGGCAGCGAACTACGACGGCGGCCATATATTCCCTGAGCCAAGAAGCGCATCTCATCAGAGCGTTCCAAAAGCTCGTCCAACTTCATCTGGAAGGTGTAACCTCCCACCTTCAACCCCGCTTCGATGAACCTGGCAAGGAGAGAGCTTGTGGGGATTTTCTGAGCGCGCGCTCGCTCTCTTTGTCTCTCTCTCAGGGAGAGAGAGAGAGAGAGAGAGCGAGAGCATCGTGCCCGGAAGGGGCCTGGCCTGGTCAGCAACTGCAAGGGCCTTCGTTGCCAGTAAGTGCGGATGCGCCCAAAGTCCTCAGCAAAGGAGTGTGCAACATGGCAGCTAGCAGGGTCCACAAGAAGCTGGCCCCTAAGAATTCACAGAGCCTTGAGAAAAAACAACTCACTTCTTGAAGAGCTGACTTCGACTTGATCAGCTGAAACCTGGCTTCCAAGGAATTGATCATCTTACTTCAGTCTCACTGCAGACCTATGGCCTGCCTTGAACTGGCTAAGGAATTTGCCAACCAAAACCCACAACCCAGGCTGTGTGTCACCCCCCGAGGCACATCCATGCACCCACTCCGGCAGCCGTGCCACGTATTCCCGGGGCAGCTCATCCAGCCAGGGCTGCGGGCCACGGCGTAACGCCAACAGTGCCACCAGAGCAGCACCAAGACCTCACCGAAAGTCGATGTGATTGTGTTGGAATGGGAAGAACCCAGACCTGCTAAAAGGCCATAAAGAAAGGTCCAGGTGGTTGGGACCCGATCTTCACATGCGACACAAGCTTACAAATCTATCATGCGTACACTGTGCTTTATGTCTCCAAGGCACCATCTAAATCCAAACTATGACGTACACAAGATTGACAGAAGTCCAGGAAGGGAAAAAGTGCGTCCGACGTTTGAAGAAGCTTGGTCTCAATCATCTGCTTCGGTCTTCCTTTGGGGTTTCGCAGGCTTCTCCCTTCCAACGCATCGCCGCGGTTCCGCGGCCTGCAGGGAGCTTCACCGGATCCAGCACCTCCGGATGGGCAAGCAAGGTGGCGAGCTCGGGCGGCAGGTACGTGGCCAAGGCTTTGAGGTTTTGGCTTTCGAGAAGGGCCTCCACCTTCACGGAGAGCTCCTGGAAGGGAAAAAGGATGATTTTCATGGGTCCAAATTGGAGGGGTCAGTTTTCTTACTTGAGCAATTTGTGGCTTCCTGCGTCCACGTGGGGAGTCTCAAGAAATGTTGGGACTCTTGCGGATGCCGATGCCCCACTGCCCCGCTTCCCCACACCGAATTCTTGCCCTGGCAAACCCCCACCCGCACTCCGGTCGACTGCTCCTTGAGGGCCACCTTCGCCTCCACTGGCAGCGGCAGGTCCGGCACCTTGGGCAGCATCTTCTCTGCTGCCTTGGCCACCTGCGTGGCTTGGCGTTCCACGTCGCCCAGCACCTTCTCGGGATGTTGGGCCCAGCGCGTGGCCGTCTGCTCGAGATCCTTGGCCAACTTCTCGACGTTCAAGCCAGTAAGGCCCAAACCTGGTCAGCTGACAGGTGACAAGAAGAACGTCAAGCCGCCCCCTTCCCCCTTTTGCCTGTGTCTGTGAACCACAAAACAGCCACCCGAGCCTTCCTCCACATCTGCCACTTCTGGCACCTCCACACGCATCTTCACCACCTGCCGCTGGACGCTCTTCCGTGCCCGTCTCCGGCCCACCGCGTGCCCGGCCGCCAGCGCGCCCACGGCGAGGCCGGCGCCCAACGCAGCACGGCCCACAGAAAGCGCGCCGGCGCTCGGCAGGCGCTCGGCGGGTCCAGAGTGGCTGCCGGAGCTTGGCACCGTGACAGCGCCACGCAGGCCGCTGTGGGGCACCACGAAGGATTGGTCCTCCATGCTTGGGAAAATGGAGGCACCTGAGCGAAGTGGTTAGATGCCATGAGCAGTGGAGCGCATCCAAATTTGGTCCCTCGCCCGGCCCAACACCCAACCTGCAACCCACTCTGATCAAACGGCCCTGCCTCTGGGATACCGCCAGTGAAGGAGAAGCCAGAACTAGTGAGCAAAGCTGCGGGAAGCAAACGAAGCTGATGTTGATAATCACTTGACGTCGGCACACATACGTTGGAAAAACCTTGACATGATGCCGTGAGGTATGGCAACCTCCTACCAATTGACATCTATGCCACCGCGCCACCTATTGTAATTCATTGTAATTCTCTCTCTCTCTCTCTCTCGCTCTGGTAGGCCGATGTTGCTCTAGGCTTGGTGTGCCAGCGAACACGGATCCACTGAACTAAGCAAGTCGTTCGGTGTTGACGTTGGTGGGGATTGATGGACCACGAGCCGTGTGATCATCTACTGGCTCGTCGCACCTGCACGTGGAGGCTTCTGCCAGATGAGGTCCAGCAGCTCTCAAGCAAACGAAAGCTACACTGGAAACTAAAAGGGATGTCAGCTGTGTTGGGTATAAGTAGAGCTTCCTCTGCATGTCTTGATGGCTTCGCGCCCGCGATGCGACGATACCTAGTAACTCTTGCAAGCCAAAACGCTGTGGAGGACGACCGCACGGTTGCTTCAGCTGGACTGGCAAGACAGCAGAAGGAAGGGAAGAAAATGAAAGGAAAGAAAAGAAATGGAAAGGGAAGGAAGGAAGAACGGAGCCGCTACCAAATTCCAGGCTTCAGATTGCAGCTTCGGACAACTCAAAGCGAACCATCCCTCTGCGACGCAGAGGCACTGAACGGCCGTCCGTTCAGTGCCGTCCTTCACCTTTAAAAACAGGCCCGTCAGGCACATCAAGAGAAGGAAGTCAGAAAAGAGTTCAGACGGCTCAATCATGTTCAAACCAGCTGCTTGCCGCATCTTGCTGCATGAGCATCTCTATAAGTTTTAGTTTCAGGCTTAGCAGCGGAACCTTTTCTTCCCGATCTTTGGCGGAGTTTTTGGAACCAGCTACGCTGACGGTTGGCTTGCAATGCGGGCCTCCCAATGCAAAAAATTAACCCCGGACAGGCGCACAGTTTGCCGATGCCGATGCCGCGAGAATGCAGTCATGCCAAAATGCGGGAAAGGCCTCCACAACCGAAGCCCTCTGAGATTTTGTCAATCAAATGAGAACTACCCCCTGAGAACATCAACGTCCATATTCTCAGATCTACCATACACTCCAAGCTACGTTCCAGGACCGTCTTGAGTCTTGCGGTTTGGCCTATCTGCTGGGCTCAAAGTGAGCAAAGGTGTCCCTCTCCTTGGCACCGGCATAAACCGCTTCCAGGCCCGACCATAGTAGCAGGATGTAGCTACAGCAAGTTCTACATTCTATACCCTGGAGCCTGACAAGCTGGATTTGATTGTTTGATGGAATACCTCTCATCCAAACAATCCAAACCAAGGCCACAGCTGCGCCCAAAGTCTGGAAGCCTCAAGGCATCTCAAGGCAAACATAGCCAGCACATGCCAGCACCAGCAACATGAACCTGGACGAAGCATCAAAGCTTGGCAGGTTAAGCCAAAGCTTCTACAGAGAACTTCCATCTTTCGCAATCCACCCCAAACAGGCCTCTTCAACAGAGCATTCAGCTCTCTGTAGCCTCGAAAAAAGGCCTCCCATCACATCTACGGTTATAAAAAACTTTCATATGGTAAGGCCAGAATCCGTGATTAAAAAAAAGTCCCCAAAAAAAAAGTCAACTGGAAAAGTCAAAGTCAAAAAAAAATCAAATTGAAAAGTCAAAAAAGATTCGAAAAAAAGTCAAAAAAAGTCAACCATAGACCACAGCTCGAAAAAGTAAACAAAAAGTGTAAAAAAAAGTCAAAGCTCGCCTTGGCGGATTAGTGGAGTCAAGAAAAGTCAAAAAAAATGTCGAAAATAATCTAAAAAAGTCGAAAAAAATGTCAAAAAAAAAAATCAACAACAAAAAAATCGGACAAAAAAAGTCGAAAACATGTCGAAAAAGGTCGGATCTCGGCAAATTGACTTTTTTTGACTTTCTGAAATTTGCTGATTTGACTTTTTTTTGACTTTTGGGATTGACATGTTTTTACTGTTTTAAATTTAGAAAACAGGCTCTTTCCAATGAAAGTTTTTTATGAATCTACGGCCTGCCACGGCCTGTACATAGGGCCCCCAGCCGCCAGGGGCACCCGAATCCAAAAAGCTGGGAGGCTCCTTCCCGGTGTATTGGGACAGCATCCTTGGAACATGCAGTGGTCGACTTCCTATACACAGCTGTGATCCACCTTTAGTTGGAGTATGACTAGGTGGGTAAGGGTAAAAGGAGTCAAATTGATGTGGTTACGCAAACTGCTCTGCGTGCACTGGGCTTGGAGGAGAGTTCTGGCCTAAAGTCAATGCATAGGATTGTGGATATGGTTTGGAACTAGCCTTGGCGCCCGGCTGCGTGGCATATTTCACCCCGTCCATGACCAGGGAAGGATAGTTCATCCAAAAGCCCACGTGAGGAATCAAGTGGATACCTCCACTCAGAAATCGGCTTCAGAACTTCAGGCTTGAAGCTGGGGGTGCATGGCTTTCGTCTGGCAAACTTCATGATGAAAAGGAGCTGAGGTGCCTCTGGCACCTTGCATCTGATAGTTGTAGATGGCTCCACCTTGGTGATCCATGCATTCTCTGCATGTACTGACTGAAGAGACAGCCCACCACCGACACCTTGTACGGTACACTGCCCCGAATGAACTCGGTCAAAGGTATTCAAAGGTAACAAATGGATCCCATCGCATCTTGGAGGAGGCCTCACATGTCCATTGACTAACGACAGTGGCACGCACTGCGCAAAGCCCAGCACAAACCAGATAAACGATGGCCACTTCGATGATGCCTCGAAGCCTGGGATCCGCCCGCTCACACGTCGCACAAGGTCGTGCTGGATGCATCTGAGGGATGTGGAGTCAAAACTCATGTAGAACATGAAGTGACACCTACAACCTACAACGGTTCGAACGGGCAGTGAGAGGAATCTCAACCATCCCTGCCTACAAAACCCCCTTTCGGGCACGCAGGGGAAAGTTTCAAGGGCCTAAGGCCTTTGGTCAGGTTGAGTGGAAAACAAAACCATATTCCTGTCAGACATTCTGAGAAGAATCATTGGGCATCAATGATTCTGCGCGTGGGCCACATGCTACTACTCCATGTTGTTTATAGCTTCAACTGTTCGAAGGTAAACAACTTACAAAACACCTTACTGATCTAATGGGCATGGGCACTCACACACTCCCGTTTCACACACTTCTTCCCCAATACTCTGCTCATGTCTCTGCCATCAATGATCCCAACACCCCAGGCGATTCGTCCACCATGTTGGGTGGGCCGGCAGTCCGCTGGCGGCTCCGTAGTGGTCAATGTGCTCGACATTCCAAACCTCAGAGGGTGGCGGCCGAAATCATTTCCAAGCCTGTCAAATCTAAATCAGTAGAAGAGGGGATGCCATTCCCTTCTACGGATTTACGGATGTATTTAATATGTGTATGTATATATATATATATGTGTGTATATATATATAATTATGTATGTATGTATGTATGTATGTATGTATGTATTTTTTTTTCCTAGAGGTTGGTTGGTGCACGAAGCCGTGTTGGCTGGTTGGCTACGCCTCAGTGAGCGGCACACCTCAGAAGTAGTCCACAATCATGTGGCCCCCAGTGTCCTCATCGGTGTCTTCACGGCTGTCATCAAGCTGCGTGGAGAAGTGCAACCGTCTCGGTGTGGGGCCCGATGTGCTGCCGCCTGGGTTGTTGGCCTGTGGTGGAGGCAAAATGCCTTCTTCTGGTGTGCTGGTAGCCTGCGTGTGACTGTCAGTGTCTGGAGTGCCCCCGCCGTTGGGCTCCCCTTTGAAGCAGCCACCGAGAGGCGGGGATGTTTTTATTCCAGCTCCCTTGCAAGGCCGGAGGAGAGCTTGTGTGGAGATGACTCTTTTCTCGCCATCAAGGTTGGTCTGGGTGCCACATTGAGTGCATCGAAGACGGTCCCCTTTCTGCCAAAGTGCGTGGCTGTGGTGCCCTGGATGTTGACCAGTGTAGGCTTGGTCTACGCATGGGCTGGCAATGAAGAGTTGAAATGCTTCTTCATTGACTCGTTTGTGGATGTTGAGGCCGCACTTCAGGCATTTGAGATAGCCGGCGGTTTCTCCATATTGATGCTCCTGGGGGCTCGGAGGTGTCTGATGCTGCTGTGCGAGCAGGTCCTTGATGACCTGTGCCCGCGTGGTCTTCTTGATGTATGTATGTATGTATGTATTTTTTCTTCTAAAGGTTAGCTTAGTGCGCCGTTTGGTTGTGTGGCCTGCATGCTCTTGCTGATAGGGCTGGTCAAGGCATGTCCCTTGAACAAAGGTTTGGAAAGTCTGTTCATTGCTTCTCTTGTGCACGTTTGTGCCACAGCGTACACACTTAAGGTACCCTGCCGTCTCTTCCAGGTAATGTTGTCCTGGCGGTGGTTTGGTGGTCTCCTGCTGCTGTAGTAGCTGTTTGATGACCTGTGTTCTGGTCAACTTCTTGGGCATTGCTTGGTGCGGCTTCTCTGGCGTTGGTAGTTGTGCTTCAACACTGAGTTGCGGGCACTCTTCAGCAAGGCGTTCTTCAAGGACTGGCACCGTCAAGGCCTGATGGACCCTTAGGCCGCACGCCCCGCATTGGTGACCACTGCGATGGGGTGCCCACCTGTGGAAAGGTGCTTGCCAAAGTTTGCTGCAGGTGGCAATGAGCTGCTTTTTGTATTGCTTAGTATGCCTGCGGCTTTTGGTGAATGTAGTGGTCTTTGTCTTTGAAGATCTTTTCCAGGCGATTGATGGCATGGGTGTAGATGAGCATGTGGTCATCATCGAGTACCTTCTGCCACTCGGTGGCTTTGGGGTCCTGGTACTGCTTTGCTCGCTCCCAAGCAGCTAGTGCAGCATCACGTTGTCGGCGCCGAAGTTGTGGCTCACTGCCTGGGGCCTCAGGTGATCTGGTGTTGCGGGCCACATACAGGACCTTGATTCGCTGGAAATCCTGCTCAGTAAGGTGCTCAAGTTGGTCTTGATATGGTCCTCGGTGTCGTGCCTGTGTCCAGGCTTCCCACACAGTGACAAGTTGAACAATGACTCGCACAGTGGTGGTGGTGTGTTTGGCCAGGGCAACGAGGCCTTCCATCAAGGCTCTAGCTTTGGTGTGCGGAGGTGCTGGCGCGCCAGTGATTGCTCCAAGTCTTTGGAGTTGCCCCAACGTCATTTGATGCACACACAAGCCAAAAATCCATAGTTGATCCCTCTGGTCATAGCTCGATGGCGTGGCATCCAGAGTGAAAGCCCATCCTTGATGTTGATGTGGTGCAAGAGGTTGCAGCGTCTGCCATGCACCATGTCCATGATATGGCTGTTGGATCGATTGATGTGCTTGAGGTTCGAGTGGGATCCAACCCGCAGTCCATAGTGGTGTTTCATCATCACACAAAATTCGGTCAGCCCACTCAGGTGGCATGGGTTCCTGCTGTTGGTTGTGATGCCACTTGCACAACCAGAGAATGTGCTTCGTGGTGGCCGGGACCTGGCAAATGGGACATTTCTTGGGCTTGCCATCTGCTTTGTAATGAATAGCCGCCTGGGTCCATGTGCGTAGATGAGGTTTTTGGGCTCCAGGAATGCTTTTGAGCATCTGTCGATATGTGTGCCAGTCCAAGCCTGCAACCAGATGTTGGTGCTGTTCTTTAGCTGCCAACCTTGCTGTTCGTTGTGCTCTGGCTTCATAGAGCAAAATGCGTTCCAGTTTCCACCATGGGTCTTGCAAAGTGAGTGCAGCTTCAACCAGGTAAGGTCCGCTAGGCCTATACCATCTGTGAAGATCTTGGACTTGCCATTGCCATTCCATCATGTAGGCAATTGCCGCTGCCATCGGGCCTTTCACCACATACCACGGATGCTGTTTCTGGCTGAGCTGTTGAACTGTCTCCGTCCAGGCCTGTTCAAGGTGCTGGATTTGATCCGGTGGCCAGCTGTGGAGAAGGGTATGGAATGCTTTGATGTGGTGCAAAATGACCTGATCGCCCGGATCCATATACTTGGTGCTGTGGAGATCATAGGTGCTGTCAAGCAGGCCGCCAGCATGATGGCCTAGATGGGTTGCCAGAGCTTGGCGGAGGGCAGTGCGGTACCTTGGAGCAAGGCCCTGAGCTTCTATGCCCCAGAGTGCGACCGGCTGAATGCCACCTTTGTGCAGCCTCATTCTGATTCTCAGGGCTGGGATCTTCAGAGTCCTCAATTTTTGTCGTCTTTGTTTCGCTTTCTGAAAGCGTTGACGAAGAACTGGAATTCTTCTCCTGCGGGCTGCCTGATGATCAATCCCCAAATCTCTCATAACCGTGGAGATCGGTGGCTCGTGCTCCTGCAGCAGGCCTTTGAGCGCATGCTCGGTCTCACGATCTGTGGCCACAAAGGCCGTCTTCTTGGGGTTGACTTTCAAGCCCAGGGTTGTCAGCCTGTGATGTAGGTCTCTGTAGGCTGCAACAGCTTGCGTGGCCACCTGTGTTGCGGTGGTGCCCTTGAGATCGAAGCCAACATCATCAACCCAGCTGGAGAGATGTGCATTGGGATGTTGTTCCTTCCATGGAATGAGGGCAGGTGCAAGTACTGCCTTCGCCAGGAGTGGTGCTTGTGGGCACCCAGCCGGCACTCCATTGTCGACGTGAAAGAAGGGCGTCATCTCCTGCTCAGCCAGAATGGCTTTTGGTCCACAGTAGACTTGCATGGCGAGCTCCAGCAGGAGTGGTTGGTAGTCCAACTTTATGGCTTCTTCCTGCAAACTGGCCAAGTGGATCGTGTCATAGAAAGTTGACATGTCCATGAGCACAGTGATGCCATGATGATTTCGTGCCTTGGTAACTTCTTGGCGCAGGAGCCGTTGGAGTGCAACATGAAGGACATTTGCACCAGGGCGAGCCTTGTCGTGCTGCATGGTGTCAGGAAGTTGTTGTTGCCATTGATCCAGCAGTGGTTTCCGTAGCCTGCACCATACCCGCCACAAAGTTGATGTAAGCGTGATAGGCCGCTCTAACTTCTGATTTTTTGGTAGCATAACTACCAGGTGCATTTGGAGCTGGGTGGGGAGCTCAGCCGTGCTTTCCATGGTCTGGTAGAGCTGGAGCAGCGGTGTCAGGGCCAGTGGAGGGATGCTTTTGAGCATCTGGGTGGACACAGCGTCCGGTCCACTGGCTCGATCTGGGAGTGCCTTCAAAACACGGTGGAGCATGCCTTGCGTCAATGGCTCTAAAGTGGCTGCCTGCTGTTGGGCTGCAGGTTGTAGGCTGGGCCTCGGGGTGGGATGATTGTCTTGTCGGATCATCCAGAGGCCGCCCCAGTCAGCAAGTCGTTGGTCCATTCGTTGAGGCATTGGCGTGAGTCTGTAAGGCCTTTCCCATGCCAACTCGCTGCTTTTGAGGCTTCTAAAGAGTCCCTTGAGCCCTTTGTGGTAACCCTCCTGCAACCATTGCTTGTACTGGAGTGAGGTCTCCTCATGGGCCTGCTGTTGTGCTTCTTGCAGCTGATGACTGATGGTTTGGAGCAGGAGTTCGGCGGCATGAGGATCTCTATATCGATGCCAATGATGACTCGCATCGAGAAACTGCCCCCATGTTGGTGCCCCCACCCAGTGCCTATGAGCATGGCGAATGCGCCGCATGAAACCTTGGACAGTGCCAAACGGAGGACAGCTTTGAGTTGTTCCCAGTAAGCTGGGCGGCCCTTTCGCCAAGTGTGTGGCTTGGTCTGTGGTACAAGCGGCTTGGTGACCACTTGCAATTGGTAACCACGGCCTTGGGCAGCCCAAGGGTTTTCTTGGAGCAAGTATTGCTCTGTCTTGGAAAGCCAGTCCGCCCAATGTTGTGCTGGCCTGTTGGGTGGATTGCCATAAAGTTCCACCACATGTGCCTGGGATTGGTATGTGGTCCAGGGTCTGAAGTCTATGTCAGGCACCTTTGGCAACGGCGGGAAATAGGGCATCTGCCTGTATTCTCTGGTGGCAGCCTCTATGTCAAACTTGAGCTGGAGGAGCGCATGTGGTCTCCACGGAACTGACCATTCAGTGAGAAGGGTGGTGGTTCCCGCCAGAGTATTGTGGAGGATGGCATAATCAATGGTGTTTCCAGACAAGACACTGTGGTCAGGCGCCAAGATGCCGAAGTGGAACTTGGAGGAGAGAACAGTTCCTGCCATGGCGCTCGGTGGATTCTGCCAATCTCCAATGCACACAAAAGGGTGGGCTGTGTGAGTGAGCAGAGCCAGCAGCCGACTCATGATGGCCGCATTGGTCTCACTTTGAAGTGTTTCTCCTGTTCTCATGTAGAGCCCAATGACCAGGATTGTGCATTCCGTGGCTTGTGAAAGGAAACTTTGAAATCCGCACCCATGAATGGTGTATGCCTCAAACTGAGTGACCCCACAGGCAGCGTCTGCAACAACCAGTAAGCCTCCATGTGTGCCCGTGTTCTCTTTGTTGAGGCCAGCCGGTGTGCCAAAAGCAAGTCGTCCTCTGACAGTGAGGTATTGACAGGTTTCCCAATGCTTTTGGGGATCCAAATGGGTCTCCGCAAAGATGTAAATGCCAGTATCTCGCGTCCAATACCATTCCAGCACTTGGCGCCCAAAATTGGTGACATTGCTGAAGTACAGAACGTTGTGGTCCTGCTCCAGTCGTGCCCTCTTGACAGGACTTGGGTGTGGTGGTGGCTCATAGTCTGGCTCTTCAGGTGGCGGTAGGCCATGGAGCACCTGCTGAGGAGTTTTGAAGCAATCCATGTTCACCGCCCAGACCTGTGTGATTTGGCTGGCCAGACTGGGTGTCAGGTTTGGCAAGTGAGTTGGGACCTTGCCATCATCAGCAATCCACATGAGGTCTCTATAGACAAGAATCGCGAAGTAGTGGCCTTGCTGATGTGTTTGACCTCGATGACAGATGAGGACTGCTGGAACAAACTCCGTGGATGAGCGAGAGAAACCATCCAGGGACCGGGGCATGGTAAAGGTGCCATATGGATTGAACGGCTTCTGGTGCTTTGTCATCACCCATCAATGCACGTGTTTCGGGTCACATGACAGATCAGGACCTTTTTGTCATCCAGCAAATACTGTCCCATGCCTTGGTTTGCCCAATTATTGATGAGCTGCTGAAAGGTCACACATCAGGCCAGTCATCGGGGTAGGGAACCAAGATGGGCTGTTGGACATGGTCTGTTAGGTATCCGCCTTCCTTGATTTCTGCAAAGCGATAGTGGAACGCTCTGCTCTGGGAGAGCAGCCACAAAGAGTTGACAAAGTGGCTCGCATCTCCTTGCACATTGAGGTCGTGCTGTTTCCAGAGCTCACGAAGTCCTGGAAGGGTCGTGATGTCCACCTGTTCAGCTGTGTCAATGGATTCCTGCACAGCTTCTTGAAGTGTGCCCCAAGGTTGAGTGCTCGATTCCTGGAGAAGAGCACAGATCCATGTGAAGCCGCGCCATGGTGCATTGGCAAAGCACCGGACACTCGGATTTCCCACCACCATAGTGAGATTCTGCAAAATGCAGTCGGTTGCTGTGGCATAGTTCTGCATGCCAGCTGATTTGAGAGTTGGACTGTCAGAAGTGTCGGCAGTGGTCGCCGCCCCTCCTAGAATGGAGAGGATGGGAGTGCCATGGGCCGTCTCTGCAGTGGGCTCATCAAGCAGTGTTGAAACTTGTCTGTGAGCTGCAAAACTGAAAAGTTGCTCACGTACACCATGAAATGAATGATCCCCATCATTTGTGGTGTGGAGCTCCCCTGAGGGTTGTGAGTCAGCTTTAGGATGTGCTTGATCCCTTGCACATATGAAAGCTGGTGTCCCCTGATGCTTTTGTGAGCCTGAAGCAGCGCGGCAATCCCTTTGTGGTGTTGCTGACGCGTCATCAAACTGAAGTGCATCATCTAGAAAGGAAGTTTCTTGAAAAAGTTGCCCCTTGTAAGGACTGTCAGGTCCTTCACATGACATGATGTCATCGTCCGGCACCGGAACAATCCACCCCTGAAAGTGCAAACCGGTGGTGTTACCCACAATGTCCTGGTGGCACAGTCTGCTTGCCATCGGTTTTGCGTCGCTTCAAGGAGTCTTCAGTCTCCTGGTTGGGCCTCTTGAGGAGGCCGTGAAGCTGAGTCTTCTGCTCTTCGGTCAAAGAGATGCCCAAACTATGGACAAAGGATTCGACAGCCATTGGAATCTGTTCAGCTTCTCCTTGGGCCGTCGGCAATTGAGAAGGCGTTGGGGTCTGGTTGACCGCTTTCATGTAGTCATCCGAAAGGGTCTTCAGTGCCTGCTGGCCTTCTGTGAGCTTCGTTTGTAGCTCCTGCATGTCTGTCAGTAGCGCTGCATACTGTGCTTTGACATTGTCAATCTTGGCCTGGAGTTGAGTCTTTCTCATGGAGAGATTTTTGAGCTCAGTCACTCTGCCTTTGAGTTTAGCAGCAATCTCACGTTCTGTGCAAGGCTCTGGTGTGGTCAGTTTAGTGACCAGGTCTTGGACTTGTTGAGGTAGAGCCTCCATGTGCGACTTGAGGACATCTTTGAGCTCAGGTTCATCTGGCTTGGTTGGACCAATGCCTATGGCTTGTAGTCGATGCTGGGTATCCTCAGTCAGGGTGGTCCACGTGGCTGCCAACAAGTCAGTGGCTTCCTGCTGGACCCTGGAGATTTTGAACGGCTTGACTTTAGCGAGACCCGGCGGAGCGTCTGGCCAAGAGCCCTGTGCCTTGGAGAGCTTTCCTGTAGGCCTTCCATACCCTTTGCCTTTGCCTGTGGGCGGACTTGCTGCCATCCACATCGTGCCACATCGTCTGCACCTGGTTCCCGGGTACATCTTGTCCTGCCAAATCCAGTTAGAGCAAGTACTCTTAGTGCAAACCTTATAGGTGCGGCACCAGGTTGGGGTCATTGTGCCTGAAAGGCTGGAACTGAGGCCAGGGCAAAGGACAGGATGAAGGGTGAAGTTCAGGGCACCGATCACGATCAGGCCAGGAACGTTCTGTGTCAAGAAGGGATTGCTAGCAAAGTGGTAGTTGATCTTGTCCTGAAAGAGGTTGGAGTTCTGGGCGAGAGCTGCCAGCCACCAAAGAGCTCTACAGGAACGGCCACGGAGAGGTCGGAAATTGCGAGCAAAGAATGTGTGGTAGTTCGAGAAATCGAGAAACAAGGTGAGGAGGTACTCTTTGCTATGTTCGCAAGGGGCTTTCCGCACTGGCAGGGCTTTGTGGGATGCCTGCTTGATCTCAAATGGCTTGAGCCATGTATGTATGTATGTATGTATGTATGTATGTATGTATGTATGTATGTATGTATGTATGTCGCTTTCCTTCATGTCTTGGGTTTCCAAATGTCTTGGGGCTTGCTGACACTGGCTTGCTAAAGAGTGCATCCTCCCGCTCCTCGCGCCTGTTTCTGCCAGGGCCCAGGCCACGGACTCGGCTTCACGCTCCCAGCCGGCCGGTCCCGACAACATGTTGTTGCTAAAAAGCTTCCTCGGTCAGGCGGAAACATGCTGGCACTGCAACGCAAGCAGTGCAACACTTGCCCGTGCTTGGCGCGCTTTCCCAGAGCATGCCGGACTACTGTGGCAGCTGGTTCATTTCACTTGGACTTCAAAGAATGCACAAGATGAAAAATGTGGCAGGACGCGAGAACCTGCGTGGCACATGAAATCCCTCAAAGGACACGCGAACTCTTGTGAATCAAGCCCATCAAGGCGCAGGCAAATCAGAGGAGACTTCAGCACCCAAACCGGCAGGTTTCGACGAATGGTGCGTGAGCAAGGTCTCCTTGGGCGGCGTAACGACGATCATGTTAATCGGCAGCCAGATCTGGGGTGATGTGCCAAAGGGTTGAGGAGAGTGTTTCTTTGTATTTCTTTGTATTGAGTTTGGACTAAGGATGATTGAACAAAAGTTTCAGGCTTGGAGAAACTGCTTGGGCGTCCGAGCCAGTTTGTTCCAGGCGCCTCGCTGTTGATCCTGTCGGGGCCCGGATGAGAAGGTACATGGAGCAACCGAAAACGACTCCCACAAGTCGCGAGGATCAAAAATATCATCCCACAAGTCACAAATCTGTCCAATTTGCTTATATAGATTGACTGAAATCGACGGGAATCAGCTGCTGGTTTTTGCCATGAGCCAGTGGGGATCCTGGGAGGTCCTATGGAAGTGCTCAATTCGTCCAGGGCTACATCATACATCTCCAAAAGCAAGGACATCACAAGAGCCAAGCTGAATCAAAGAGCCAATAGCTTGTTGGTTTCGCCCGATCCTGCTGGGTGGGGCGTGTGCCCTAACCTCTTGGCATAGTCCTACGCCCGACACACCTTCCCCAAGCTCAGGGCCCGCACCGTGAGGCTGTTTGGGCTGGAAGCAGCCGCCAACATCTCCTGGCCACGCTACGGTGGTGGGTCACCTGACTGTGCCCTGAATCAGGGATACAAAAACCTACTCAAGCATTCCTGGCATCAGCCAGCTCCTGCGAGCTCTTGCAAGCAAATGGGAAAATTGCAAACTTTCACATCAGAACAAGTAGCGCCCGACCTTCACAGTCACCACATCTGCATCTCCATCGGAGATCGAGTAACGCCTAGAATCCGGTGTGAGCTGTGACAGGTGACAAACAGACGCGGGCGGCCAGCGTCTAGAGGAAAAGACCCGCCTTTTCAAGCTCTGCAGGGCTGAGTACGCCTTGGCAATCTGGAAGCCCTTGCTCCTCAGGAGAATTTGGAGTCACAGTTTGCTACAGAGCTTGAGATGCGCGTGAATCGCAGTGAATTCCTGGCGCGTTTACACTTGCATCGTTCGGATCCGGATCTCCTTACACAAGACAAACGTGTGATACAACTTTATTTTTCTCCCAGGCAGAGCTTCTCGGCTGTTTCTTGGCATTTGAGGAAACGACTGCC